AAGCCAGAAGTGGCACTGTAGCTCAAAGTGGTACAGCGCTAGCCTTGAGCTAAAGAGCTGAGGGACAGCGCCTGGGCCCAGAGTTCAGGCCCCATGACCGGACCCAAAAAAAGAAAAAAAATGAATGAAGTAAGCCTGTCACTTGGATGGAAACAACAGACGATATTTGCTGCTGGTGATAAAAATCCAAGCTTCCAAGTGAAAACTAAAATCTTGGAAAACTTCTACTAGCCACTGTGAAGTCAGCAGTGGCCGATATTTAAAGACTTCCCCGATGTCAGCACTTGCATCATCTGTATCACCCAAGAAACCACTTATTTTCCCCATTACCAAGGTATGATGTTACAGAACCACACCTAGGGACAACCATTCAGAAGTCTTAGCATGGGGGGAGAACACTGGTAAACATGGAAATTCCGAGAGGAGAAGCAGGACTGTCAGCTAACAACAGGGTGGCAGTTGGCACTACAGCGTCAACTGTGAAGACCTACAGACTTCTAAAGGGGGTCAAGCCATCCAAGCTGTCAGAGGAAACAAGGAAAGCATCTGAGCACACGGCGTCTGGCTCTGGCTTTTAGCTACCAGATGACAGGCTCATGCCCACGAGGCAAAAGGGAGCCTAGACTTCTAACATGGGATAGACTGGAACTAGCAACGGCTAAAAAACACAGAGGGCCTTGGCAGCTTCAGAGGAGCTGGGTAGGAACTCTTTTTTCTAAGTGCCACCTGTTAGGAAAGGTAAAGTTCTCCATTACTGAGTTGGCCAAAGGATAACAATCTGTCCAAACACACATCCACAGATCTCTTGCCCAGGGGCTCCATAAACCTAAACTTTGGCTTAAATCCTTAGGGAAAATGTTCATCTTATTTTATCTTTCCTCTAGCAAGGTGATGGCTATCAGACATCTCTCTGTAAAGATGTAATCTTTACTACTGACCAGGAAGCACTGAGCAGCCATTGCTCTATCTTCCAAACATCCTAACAAACAGTTTCACTTTCTGTCCCTGTGTTTCCACATCTGTGACAGGAAAAACCAATAGCTCTGGATAATATTGCTCATCCTTTTGGACAAGGACTAAGGTACAACGGAACAGACCAAAACCTCTTCTACAGACCCTCAGGCTTTCTACCTCTCAAAATAGGCCTTTTCTCATGGTGATGATTGATGATTGATGACTGATGATGATGATGTAGTTGCACGAAGAGGTTACAATTCTATGTCAGGTCATGAGTAAAATGCAATGTCATCCCCCACTCTCCTTTCTCCTTATTCTTTTTTGTTTGTTTTGGGTCCGGTAGTGGGCCTGAACTCTGGGCCTGGGCTCTGTCCCTCAGCTCTTCAGCTCAAGGCTAGCGCTCTACCACTTGAGCCACAGCGCCACTTCCGGCTCCTATTTTTTCTGCTTATGTGGTACTGAGGAATCGAACCCAGGGCTTCATGCATGCAAGGCAAGCGCTCTACCGCTCAGCCACCTTCCCAGCCCTCCTTATTCTTATAATCGCCTCTCACTGTCACTTCTGAAATCCTAACCCTATGCTAAAAATTCCTTCAAACTTCTCTCTCAGTGCCTGGCTATCCTACCTAAACACATCCCTTAGAATTTAACCTAAAATGTATCCTCTATTGGAACTCGGTAACAAATTCCATATCCTGAAGGCAGGAACACTGTCTGTCCACTATCTGTGCCCTGCTGTATTGGCAGGATTTGCAACTACACCTAGCACAGAATAAACAGCATGTGGAATGGTGAACAAGCTTGACCACAGACAAATCAACAGCATCTCAACCCTGCTTCACTCTAGGCCATTTCCAGAGCAATTACAGAAACTTAAAGAGGGCATTTTCCACCCAAACTCTCACCTGCCCCACCTGTCCCTGCTTAGGTGTGGCGTGGAGTCCCGTCAGGCCACAATCCTGCTCACCTCTGCTCCATCACTTCCACTGCCACTGCAACGACCTGCATTTGGGCCATCCCTTCCTCCTCCCCTCCCTCCCGCCCTGTGATTTGCTCAAACAACTCATAAATCTCCAACTCACACTGTTGCAGGCCATACCCACTACTGCTGAAAGGGTGAGCTTTCTACAGAGACAAAGTGGACCACTGAGGCCTTGTGCTTAAGGCCCACCAACGGCTTCCTTCACCTACAGGATCAAGTCTAAACTCCACTCTAATCACAGGCTTCTTTGTCCTCATGAACTGGTACACAACCCAACCCCACAAAGAAACACGGTTTTGAGCCTCTGAACCACGCTATCCACCCCACACTTACTGCCTTTCCTATGCCCACCTGTAAGGGCACAGCTTGATCTCCTGGATTGGCTCCAGTATGTGCCCCTCTGTAACTAAAATGTTGGGTACATACACACACACACACACACACACAGTGACAACACTGATAACCAGGAGTTGGTGTGGGTCAGGAACTATCAGATCTGTCAGGTCAGGTGTGTCTTCACATCCATAGTGCCTGGCCAGCCAGTGGTGGGGGCAGCAGTAAGGATTTTAGGGAGCATGTGCGCAAATAATGAAATACTGTTCTTCTGCAAAGCCTGTTCAGATTAATTAAAGTAGAAGCAGCTTCCTGCTGCCAGGCTAATTCTACAATCCTCTGCTCATCCCACCAACGTTCAAGTCTACAGACTCCTCACCTGGGTACTTTCTAATCCTGTCATCAGGAAAGAGGATGAGAGGTAAATGCTAATACCCAACACACAGAGAATAAGCCTGCCACAAGAACAAACCTGGGAGGCTGTGATAAACCTTACATACATAATAAGCATAATGACACGTGGAAAGGTCTGTCTTCTGCACACTACACTATCATCTCCCCTTAGCAGTTCTGTACATCAAGATAGTTTCAAAAGGGTCAGGAAGTTGTGTGGACATATTTGTTACCAGAGTCTTGTCCACAAAGTTTTCAAAATGAGCTGAAGAAAGCAAAAAAATCACTGTCTCCAGGAAATAGCTAACAGGGGATTAAAAAAAAAAGTTCAGCTGAGCCTTCTATATTTTCCTCCCTCTATGAAGTACTTTTTCTTTAAAAGTACATAATTTATACAAATTTAAAGAAAATCAATTTACCAAATATATACTATTTGAAGTAAAAATAAAATCAGTAACCCTCCCTACGATTTTTTGGGGGAGGTGTCTTTGAAACCTTTGGTCTACAAATTTTTTAATTACAAAAAAAAAAAAAAAACCCAAAAAACAAAAAAACTAACAAAAATGAATACTGCCAAAGGTTAGTGCTTTCCAAGTACACTTAATGATTGTGATTGTTTTTATTTTTGAAATTCAAGTAACACATCATGTGAAGTACAACTTACACAACTGCTGTCATTGTCCTTTGACCCAACATATCTGACCATTACGTAGACCACAGGACAGCCCAGAGCCACCATCTAGAATCTGCCCCATAATCCTAGACAGCAAAGCCTGCACCTCTTGTGTCCTAAAGATGTCAAAATGTCAAGGAGGGATTACATACACATCCCATGGACTGAAACCTTCGGACTCAAGAGCAGGTGCCACCTTCCTAATTAGAAAGACACTTGTTCCGGCAATCTTTTAAAGTGTCCTTTCCGACCTCTTCAGTTCAACACTTACGGTTCTCTAAGTTGGGAATTCTCAGATGAAAATATTTTTACTACCATATCCATAAATTGTCCAATAACTAACAAAATAACTATAATAAATAAAAACCAGGAAGATTAAGTACCCTTGTAGATAACAAGTAAATAAATAACATGGGAAGCTCAGATCACAAACTAAAGAAAGAAAACGCCCGTTAAGCATACAGCATTATCATGAGGCTGACAACCAACGTGATCCCTTACTCAGCCACAAGCTGCCTCTCACTTCTCCCAAGTCTGACTTAAACCATTCCTTGTTCTTTGGAGGATTCCCTCCCCTGGGGCTTTTAACTGTGTAATTATGCAGCTGGTGAACACCACAAAATACAATACAGCTTTACAAATGTAGGCTTTTAAAAATCAATGCTATTTTCACTGCATACTTCTAAAATAGATGTTCCCCTCAATCCAGAAGATTTTTAGTAAAGGCTAAGAACTGTTTAAAAGAGCAGGGGGAGCAGGCAGAGAGGGAGGGCAGACGTATCAGATTACTCGGAATTGTTGTTTTTGATCCCACTTATTTATACACCACTTTCCAGGCCTCAAAAATTTGTCCTATATAAAAATAAAATAAGCAGCCCAATAAAACTATCAAGAATAGCAGTAAAGAATGTAAGACCAGGGACAAGGGGACAGACAAAAGCCTACCAGGATAAGGGTCAGTTAAAATCTACCAGGATAAGAGAGGAAAACATTAAGAACTCCTTGGGAGCTTTTCTCATTTTCAAATTACCTGGTGGTTTGTGAAGTTCAGTGTTCTAAAATGCTAGGATTTATATGGCAAGACAATACCATGATAAGAAAGCTTCATTAAACAAATGAAAATTGAAAATGCAAATTTTTTTCTTGAAAAAGTGACCTAGACGAAAGATATTTTTCATTGAGAAGTATATCATTTCATCTAATTCTGGAGTCCTGCAAGGCAGAACTAACGTTCTATCTATTTTATTGATAGCAAAGGGAGGCCCAGAAAGGAAAAAAGGTTTTAAATAGAGAAATGGCAGAAGGGTGGCCAGATGAAAAAAATGCAAAAGCAGTATCTTAGAGTGCTAAAAAGTTCACAGGACATGTTTTGCCTCCCCTGCCCACAGCCCCAATTTCAGAAAGGTCCTCAGCCAAGCAGTAGTGCATACATTTTCAAAGTTCTCCTTCCTTCTAAAGGCCTCATCTCTCAGCACACCATGCCGGGGTCCCTGTTTGCAGCCTGTGGAGGTCTGTGATCTGCGACTCACTGAAGGAAAAGGCACCCTGATCCTATGATACTCCCATGGTCAGGAATCCAGAGGAAGCTGAACTGTTTCCAAACACTGATGAATCCTAACAAGATGGGGGAAGGGAGTTGAGGAAGCAATGAAAGACACATACCTTTCAATTGGTCAGCAACCACGCTCTGGCCAAGGCGCTCAATCACTTTCCCGTCTTCCATTTCGTACCGGTCATCTAAGTATTTTGCAGTGGCCTCAGATATGTGGACTTTGCCAGCCACCCCCAGCTGCTCCATGAGATTAGCCAAGTTCACATCGTTGGACCACACATCAAATTTAAACCTCCTCATGCCCAAGATGCCACACAGGACCGTCCCCGTGTGAACCCCGACACGCATGTTCACCATTTCTTTCTTCTCCTGGCAGAACTGCTCGATGGCTTTGATCATGCCTAAGCCCATTTCAATGCAGCAGTAGGCATGGTCCACCCGGGGCTCGGGACACCCCGCCACACAGTAGTAACAGTCTCCCAGGGTGCTGATCTTCTCACATTTGGTTTCCTCACACAGCCGGTCAAAGCGACCAAATAGATCATTGAGAAGACCCACCAGGGCGTGAGCAGACTTGTTGGCACTCATCTTGGTGAATCCCACAATATCTGCAAATAAAATACTGACTTCTTCGATCTGCTGCATCTTAAAGGGCCGGAATGCTATAGGAGCTTTCTGTATGGAGGATTTTTTCTTCCTGTTCTTGGGGCTGGAAGCGGCATGCCTCTTGACAGAATTCTCACTCTCCTCATCCCCCTGTCTCATTAAGTCATCAGCTATGATCCTAGGCATCACAGAGTGAATCATCCTCTCTTTGAGGGCTTTTTCTACTTCCAGATCTTTTCCGTGCATGATGGACTGTCCCACCTTGAGGAAGGTGCTTCTGGACCTCACCTGAGACATGACGAAGAGGTGGATCCCAATGGCGTGAATGCAGACATGGAGCAGGGCCCTGCTCAGCAGCTCCCAGTGCAGGGCTCCGGCTCCCGTCGAAGGGAAGCAGTTTTCATCCCGGAAATGGTAGCCAAAGGTCTCAAAAAGGACGGAGTAGACCACCCCCAAAAACAAGCTCAAGTACAAAGGTAAGTGCATGACGGTGTAGAGCAGAAAAAGCACTTCGATGCACATGGAGAAGCTCCCCACTTGAGATAAGCAGGTGTCCGCGGGCTTGGCTGCGGGGGTATGATTGGAGCTGTCAACACGTCCGGAGAGAGGCGTCAGATCCTGAAACTGCGCAGCCAGGGTGAGGGCGCACACCAGCAGGGTGAGAGCCAGAGAGGTCCACGCGTAGTGCCGGGCGTACAGCTTGGTGAAGGTAAACATAAAAAAGCCCACGCACACCACCAGGAAGCACAGCGCGGGGACCACCATGACCATCAGTTTAGACCGCATGTGGACCGCAAAATAGGCGCTCCAGAGGAGGCAGGCGAAGCCCACGTAGAAGAGCGCGTACCGGAAGCGGCGCTGGGTCTGCGGGAAGCAGCGCTCCAGGCAGGCCTCCTCCAGGTTCACTGAGTCGAATTTGGGGTCCCACCACCGGCTGGAAGCCCTCTCGAACAGCTGGGGCAGCTTCTTCTGCCTGCGCAGGCGGCCGCCGCCGGCGCCCGTGCGCCGGGGAAGCCCCCCGGAGTCCCCGGAGCTGCTGCAGCTGGAGGAGATGCTGTACTTGCAGTGCTTGGGGTGGACGTTGGAGGACAGCTGCTTGGGGTTGATCTTGACCCTCACGCTGTTGCTGTCTCCGCTCGAGTCGCAGCTCACCTCGGTGCTGTGGTGGTGCAGCAGCTGCTGGTGGGGCGGGGAAGCCATGTTGCCGGGCTCTCGGGGCCTCTCCCGGCCGGGTGAGGGGTCCCTGCGGGCCAAACAGCCGAGTGAGCGCGGCCTGGCTGCGCCGGCGCGCCCCGAGGTGCGGGCTCTGCCCCGGGGAGGCACTGCATGCTCTCCCACACCGCGGGCCCCCGCGAGCCAAAGCCCCCGCGGCGCCGCCTCCCCGGACCGGGCGGGGCGGGCGGGGGGGGAACCGCCGCCCGGGACGTACCTGGTGCTCCCGGGGGTCCCGGCTCCGTCGCCCGCCGGCGGCCTCCGCGCCGCGCGCCTCCCGACCGCGGCCCGGGAGGGAAGTTCAGCCCTTGGGCGCTCCCGGCCCCGCGAGCGGTCCTCGCGAAAACAACTCCGGCGAGCGGCGCTTCATCCTGCGGCGGCGGCGGCGGCGTTGGCGGCGCCCGGTGCGTCAACCCCGCGCGGCCCGGACCCGCGGCGCCGCCGCGCCCCCGCGGGCGACCCCGGGCCCCGGGCCAGCCCTGCCCCGGGCGGGGTGGGGGGGCGCGCCCCGGCCCCGAGTCTGCGGCGCCCCGGGGGCGCGCGGACGCCCCCGTCCGAGCGACCCGGTCTGGCGGGGCCTGCTGCTCGCCCGCCGAGCGCGCCGCGCCCCCGCCCGGGGGCCGAAGACGACGCCGACGACACCCCCCACCCCCGACGCCCCGGGCCGAGCCGCGGGGCCCCTCCGCGGGCGGCGGTGCGGGGCCGCAGCGCAGCCGGGCTCCCGAGACGCGGCGCCGGGACGCCCCGCTCGCCCGCTCGCCGCGCCCACGCCCCGGGGGCCCTGCCCGAGCTAGAGATGCCGCTGCGGCCGCGCCCGCCGCCAGCCCTCACGCGGCCGCTGCTTCATGTCGGAAGAGCCGCCGCCGCCGCCGCTGCCGCCGCCGCCTCCCCCTCCCGCTGTCACTGACACGCGCGCGCCCGCGCCGCCCCTCGCCCCGCCGCAGCGCGCACGCGCGACCCGCGCACGCCGCCGCCGCCTGTGTTCGCGCGCGCGCGCGCGCGCGCACCGCGCGCCACCCCGCTGGGCAAGCGCGCTCCCGGCGCCAGGCTGCGGCGGGGCAGGCGCGCGCTCGGCTCCGCCCTCCGCCGCGGGCCGGTCCGCGCCCGGCCGCCCGGCTCGCCGCCGCGCTGCCCGGCCTCGGCCCGCGGCGCCCCGAGACCGCCTGCCCCCGCCGCCGGGCTCCGGGGCGGGGCCCCCGGGAAGGTCGCGGCGGGTGAGAATTCGCCTCTCGGACACAGTGAAGTTTCCAACTACTGCCCGTGCCTGAAGAGAGCGCGCCCGGCCGCCCCGGGCGGCCTCCGGGGTTCGCCTCCCCACCCCGCCCCGCCCCGCCCCGCCCAGCCACCATTTCCCCCCCTTGGCACAAGTGAAGCCTTCAAGCGAGTCTCGGTGTGGTGAGCAGTTCGTCCCCGGCCGCAGGTAAACCTCCTCCTCCCTCCCGCCGGGCCAGCCGCCACCCGGGCCGGGCCCGGCTCCCCGCCCTTCCCCGCGCCCGGCCCGTCCGGGGCCCGCACTCGTTCGGGCCGAGGAGCTGGGAGCTGCAGGGGAGAGAGTGGCCGCGCAAGGTGGATGAGCCTTGAACACCTGCCAAGCAGGGCGACCGCAGAGAAGAGGCCCCGGAAGGCTGAGTTCACGTGCAGGGCCCCGGCAGGCAGAGCCCCCGGGCGGGGCGCGGATGGGTGCGCGGCGGGGCCTGGGAGAAGACGCGGGCGCGGTGTCCTTCGCGGGTGTTGCGGCTTCCAGGGTCAGTGCTGGGAGCTTCGTCCCCCTCCCCCGCCCTCTTCTGTAGTGCTGAAGTTTCCAGGCTGTGTCTCCCACTGTGTTCGGCCCGTACCGGTCCCTCTCAGTCATGTTTTTCATTCATTCTGGGAACTTTTCTTTTTGTTGTTGTTGTTTTTGTCGGTCGTGGGGCTTGAACTCTGGGCCTGAGCGCTGTCCCTCAGCTCTTCAGCTCAAGGCCAGTGCTCTACCACCTGAGTCACAGCGCCACTTCCGGCTTTTTCTGTTTATGTGGTGCCTAGGGATCTAACCCAGGACCCGGTGGATGCTAGGCAAGCACTCTACCACTGAGCCACATTCTGAAACCTCCCTTTGATTTGGACACCACTTCCCAGGCTGCTCCTCTCATGGTCTTGTCTCTATATTCCATCCCTCACTCTTATTCCTCTCTTTAACTTTTTGCTCAGTGATCTAGGAGGTTTCCTTAACTTTCCTTTTTTGTTGTTGTTGTTTTTGTTTTTGAGATTTGTCTTTCCATCCTTTTTTTCCTTTTCAAGAATTTTGCACAACAGTAATTCTGCTATCATGTTTTCACAGTCAAGAATTTTTTCTGCCTTTTGTATTTTTTGTTTGTACTAGTACCGGGGCTTGAACTCAGGGCCTTACCTTCTCACTCAACCTGCTTGTTCACAGCTCTCTATCACTTGAGTGGTGAAAGGACTGACCGTTCTAGGCCAGTCTGATCTGGCAAATTCTCAAACATATAACCTATGTCTATTAAAGAGATTTGATCTCTGGAAATCTCAAGCTTATCAGGTCTAAGAACAAAAGATGCAATTAGAAAAGGCCTATCACTGCAAATGATTAATACTCTATCTTGAAAATTAAAAAATAAAATAAAAATACCATTGCCATAATGAAGAGGAAGTCATTTGAGTGAGGACAATCTTTCTCATAAAGTGTGAGATGAGGTGTTTCCAAGTGATGTTCTTGATTACATGCCAGTTCTTGTTATCCACTGATGGAAACCATTGGTTCTAAAAGTTGTACTGCTTCTGGGTAGCCATTAAGTTCACAAACCAGAAACAGTGATGTATTTGGGGCTGTATCCACACTCCCTTGGCTACAGCCCTGAGACAGCTGGCTAGCTTGGGAAGAAGAGCCAGAAGGTCTCTGTGCCTTGTTTTTGGTCTGGGTCCATTTCTGTCACAACAGTGCATCTTCTTTAAGAATCTGTAGTCGGGCTGGAAAGATGGCTCAGTGGTAGAGCGCTTGCCTTGCATGCCTGAGGCCCTGGGTTCGATTCCTCAGCACCACATAAGCAAAAAAGAAAAAAGCCGGAAGTGGCGGTGTGGCTCAAGTGGTAGAGTGCTAGCCTTGAGCTGAAGAGCTGAGGGACAGCGCCCAGGCCCAGAGTTCAGGCCCCACGACCGGACCCAAAAAAAAAAAAAATCTGTAGTCATGCTGAGAGACGCACATCTGGGAAATGAATTACTACTGGGCATCTGTGTTACAAACGCACACAGAGTTGCATGTGTTTAATGGCCCTACTTCAATGTTCTGCATTGACCTGAGAGATGAAGTCTGTCTTCACAATATGAAGTACTTCCCAGAGAAGAGTCAAGCAGGAGGTGGGACTCAAATAGCTTCACAGTTTCTCCTGAGCCAGCGCTTCTCTATCCTGTGTGAAGAGGATTCCCAGAGCACCTGACATATCCATGTTCCAATGGACAGAATCAATCCATATGCCAAATATAGGTTGTAGAGTGTTGTCTGTCATTTTCTCTAAGAGCACCATTTGAACCCTTTGTCCTTCACGTAGGACACATATCTTCCCATTTGGAGGGAATGTAAAGGCCACTGCAACTGAAAATGGAACTGAGGTAAGCTAAATTGGGAACATTAAGGCATGAGAACCCAGAGCCAGGAGCTAAGAATAAGCACTGTATTAATAGGTAACTTGAAGTCTCTAACTCCTCATTGGCTACAGTGGATGGCCATGCTCTTAACCTTGCATTAATGATTTGCCCAGGCCTCTGGATAAAGCACATCCTGAGTAAATATCTCAAGAAAAACATCTTGCAAAACTCATCCTTGGACTAAGAAGAGACCTTGTTAAAAGAAAATAAATATCTCCTAATGATGGGCTTTTCTGCCCTAAATAAACATCTTCTAAGAGGAAACACCTGGCAGATTCTCAAACATATAACCTATGTCAATTAAAGAGACTCAATCTCTGGGAATATCAAATCTATCAGTTCTAAGAACAAAAGATGCAATCAGAACAGGCCTACCACTGCAAATGATTACCATGTCAGATGTTGGAAGTGAAGGATCATGTGCAGAGATAAGGGCCTGTAGACTCCTAGACTCGCTAGCCTTGAAATCATGCATTCATGAAGGGTTTTGGTGTGCTTTTCCAGTGCCTGCATCACCAGAACATTGGGATGTGCTTTACTTCAGGCTTTTCTACTTCATTCTCCTGCTTTGCCAAATAAAACTATAAGTTTCTTACTCAACTAGATGGCTTCTTAAATTCCTTTCTGTAGAATGTTAATAATTCAGTAATGGCCTGGCCTTTGTGGCTCATGCCTATAATCCTAGCTACTCAGGATACTGAGGTCCAGAGAATCATAGTTCAAAGCCAGTCTAAGCTGAGAAGTTTAAGAGACTCAGAAAAAAAAGCCAGGCTGGAGTCATTGTAGAACAAGCACAAGGACCTGAGTTCAAACCCTAGTACCACTACCAAAAAAAAAAAAAAAGGAAGGAAATTTGGACACATTCAGCATTAATGAACCTAAGCAAAAGAAGAACACACACACACACAGAAATACTCGGAATCGTCAAATTCAGAGACAGGAAATAAAATAGCAGTTGCCAAGGGCTGGGTGAGGGATAGTCTCCGTGTTACAAGATGAAACAAATTCTAGAGAAGGATAGTGGCAGTGGTTGTACAACAGTGTACTTCCCATCACTGAACCATACATTTGAAAATGTGTGATGTTGCAAGGGCTATAGGTCTTCAGCCTATAATCCTAGTTACTTGGGAGGTAGAGATCAGAGAATTGTGGTTCAAGGTCACCCAGGCATAAAAGTTCAAAAGATTGGGCTGGGAAGGTGGCTCAGTGGTAGAGTGCTTGCCTTGCATGCCTGAGGCCCTGGGTTCGATTCCTCAGCACCACATAAGAAAAAAGAAAAAAGCCGGAAGTGGCTCTGTGGCCCAAGTGGTAGAGCGCTAGCCTTGTGCTGAAGAGCTGAGGGACAGCGCCCAGGCCCAGAGTTCAGGCCCCAGGACTGGACCCAAAAAAAAAAAGTTCAAAAGATTCCCTCTCGGAATCAGGGAAAAACATACCACAGCAGGACCCATCAACTGAAGTGGACATTGACCAAAATGAACTAAGCAACTCAATGGCAGCGATGGGAGGGAGGGAATGAGTGGGAAAGAGGGAACAGCTGATGCTATGCAAAACAAAAGAAATGTACATATCACCCAATGTAGAAGAAATAACTATTGCAAAGCTCATAGAACTCATAAATGTTATAGACTGTGATAGATGATTTGTCCTATGAAAGTTAGAATGTGTTTGTGACTTTAAGCTTCACTATCCCACAATACGGTGAAATTTGGGAAATTTATGTAACCACTTAAT